TTGTCACAGGCTCTGTCAACATACAGCATCCAGGTAAAAAGACAGTTTTGTGTGGGGTTTCTTCAGCCTAGGACCCCTGGGGGCCCTACCTGTGAAAGGGACCCCTCTGCCTGGGGAAACTGACCGCATAGAGCAGAGCTTTGTATCTAGACAAGTTATGACACTGAGAGGGCTTTCCAAGGATTCAGTTTTCCTGGAACTTTAAGTGCATTAGTCAAAATTTCTTACTTATCTTCCCTCTTTTCCCGCATATTGAATAGATCCCTCAGAAGGCCCTGTGAATGCCTGTGTCCAACCACAGTATGTTCAGAGAGACAAACCTGAGTAGGTCATTGAGCCTTGCTGTGACTGATACCTCTGTATCTGTGTGTGTTTCCCCTCTTGGGGTCTTCCTGGTCAAGTCGTCATTTAGAGCTGCGGACAGTGTTTATGTTTATGCTTCCAAATAGCGCTAAGCAGCTGATGTTGCTTGACGTATGTGGGAGGTCAGTGCATGTGTGTCTTGCACTGATGTGGTGAGGGATGTAAGTTGAAAATAACATGACAAACTTGCATTAATGTGTGTGGTAGCTATTACAGTCATGTGTTTTCCAGACTAATAGTGTGCGCGAGGCTCGAATCACTCACAGCATCGTAGTTCTGTTCGAGGTATTCAGCCACAAGCACTTTGTGTCTTGTCAGGAGATCCTGTGAATAAAGACAGAAACATTAATTATAAATCAAGTCAGATAATAGAGCTGAACAGTAGTTTTTTAAAAGTAAATTATGTCTTTTGCTCACTGATCAACCTAATCCATCTTAAAAAGGGCCAGTTCACCAAATTTACAAAGGAAAAAACGGAAAGACCCATGTTACCTTGAAGGTGGCGAATGCGTCGGAGGCGATGTCGAAGGTGGACATCTCCACGTAGTTGAAGAAATTGTTGAAATGATCCGAATGAAGAACTATCTTGGCGAGTGGCTCGTGGCGGATACACTCCCTCAGCATGATCCCACAATTCAACGCTACCTGCGGAGTCTCGTACCTTCAAAGGGAGAGAGATCATTTGTGTGACCTCTATGGAAGCCAGTGTACAGTTTGTCCAGTCAATTCAATAGGGGCTTTATCGGCATGGGAAACGGACATTTACATTGCCAACGCAAGTGTAAAATGTACATAAACAGAAGAAATGTGTTATTAAAAAAATGGATGTATGCAGAAAAGTAAAATAAGATAGAAAAATACTAAATGTAGACTTGCAGTTAAAAAGTACAAATAACAGAACTTTATAAACTCTGAGTGTAAGTGTATGCAGTGGGTGTGTGGCTCACCCTTTCAGCAGTATAAAAAGGACCTCTTGGTGGGAGCAGAAGTATTCGACGGTGGGGCTTCTCGTCCCAATCTGCCTCCTCAGGATGTTGTTAAAGATCTGACACACATCCTTCTTCCCCTAAAAACACACATGAAATTAAACACACAAGTACTGTTATGTCCTTCTGTTCTTCATCCTTTTTCCTTTACCTCTATAACTGAAGTACCGGTATACACCTTTCTTTTCATTCTACACAGTATGGAAATCAGTTAGCATTGCATAGCAAAGCATCTGCATTTTCATTTTTGTTAATGTTACAAAAACAAAAAACAAAAATATGTTTAAATTTCTAAAAGCAAAGACAGTATAATACATGATTGTGCTAAATAGTGCAAAATTATCCTTTAATATCACAATGGGCAACATTTTATCCAAAGAGCAGAAAAATGTGTGTGAAAACCTTTAGGAAAATATTTTTCCATTGTGTTTATATGGCAGCTTAATCACGAAGGATCAACACATTCTCGTCACATATTAACTCCCTGGGTACCCCTTTTGGGAAATTTTTCGACATTTAAGGCTCCCCGGTCAAGTTAGCAACAATAAATATGCAATGTCCGGTTAGACTTTCAAAATAAAAAGTACTTCCTTACGTTGTGAAATGTTGCATTTTGGTTATGTTTAGGAAAAGATCATGGTATGGATTAAAATAACTTATGTAAGTCAGTTAACTTTCTTAAGTTGCGTTACTTGCGTAACTTACGTAACCAACGTAACTGAAATAAAAACATTAAATATTGACTTTTGGTTTCACATGGGGAACAAACATTGGTCTCCTGGTTGAAAGTCCAGTTTCTATCCTACACCTACCTTTAGCATTCAAATTGACGCTACAGGGCTTTCCATAACGCATTACAAACTGACGCCAACTGGTGCGACTTGGGAGTGAGAATGGGTTGCAAGGATTTGCGCACAGTGTGGTTAGGGAGAAACTCCGAAAGATAAGTTGGAACATGTGGACTGATATCATGGCTCCATACCTCAAAGTCTATGACCTGCAGGTTTTCTACTAGTGACATCAGCAGGCCACTGTTGTACAGCTCCTGGGCCAGTTGGGCCACAGTCTCAGTGTGAGGCTCCTTATCGTTGCTACCGTACAGAATCTCCTTCATGGACACCAAACACTTCGACACCTCCTCAGACGCCTGGAGAAAAGAGAGGAAGGGTTGAAGAAGATGGGGAGAGGAGGAGGAGGAGGAGGAGGAGGAGGAGGAGGAGGAGGTGGTAAGTAGGTGCCTCTGTGTTGCTCTTTCCAAGGGCACAATATGTAGGAACACAAAAGCAAATCTTGACCTAAAACAAACATTACAGATTAAGAGTCATTCTGGTAAAAGGGGGAAAAGGAGAAAGCTGAAATTGAGCTTGAACTTGGCTTGTGTGGCTAATGTGTGTGTGCATGTGTGAAAGAGTAAACTGTCTTGACAGTGAAGCGTCAGGAGATGACAGGGCCAGGCTGTTCCATGTTCTCATTTCACAGAGGGCTGTCACCCACGGGCCGCTGGACACCCAGACATTTTTACACACACACACACACACACACACACTTTCTCTACCTTGTCTGTCTTCTTATCCTGTTTGACCAGGATGGCCAGGTTTTCCTTCAGGGTCCTGACGATGTCCGCTGGACTCTTGTGGGATTTACCAAACAGTGGCATGATGGACACACACTTGCCTTAGGACCTGGGAAACATAGTAACAACACACCCACACACACACACACACACGGGACATAAAGGAGCAGTCAATGACAAGCAGTGAACAGCAGTGACAACTAAAATAATAATTTTCAAGAGAACAGTTTTTCCGTTCCTCCACAATAGCGCGGAATCAGTTCTGAACTCAGTTCATGACAGACTTTTTCAACATTTCTGTGACATTTAGGAGCTCGCCAGCTTCTCTGGAATACATAATAATGGATGAGAGTACCAATACTAGTTTTTGAAGCAAACATAAATATTTAAGAGTTTTTAAAAAGCAAACCCAGCATAACTTAGTTTTTTAAAATTTAATAAATATTTTGATCAGGATGCCCTAAATCTGATTATTTAAGATTACTACTAAACAGGACATTTTACAGTTGAAAATAAACTTGTCAGTGCTCTCTAGGGGACAAACTATGTGCTGGTGTCACCGTTATAAATACAACCACTATCTTTGTCAGTTTTGGTCTGATTCAATACACGGGAGGAATTCATATAAGTCTCAGGAAGAAGTGTAGGTGTTTCATGGTCTAAAGTAGGGTTTCATTGGTTTTTCCATCCTGCCAATAACACTACAGCCCTGAAGGAAATTTACACTAAATACTTAGATTATATTTCCTTTGACAAAAAAACAATCAAATATAAAAAAAGTTAACACAATCAATAATATCAGCTTACAAAAGCCCATCCCAGCTAACTCCTCTGAAGTAAGTGACCAATCGTGAAGAATTCCTGGAACAGATGAATTTTAAAACTTCCTCATCCAGTTGGTATGACAACTCAAAAAAGGCCTCTGAGAGAGAAACAAGCGTGGCGTGTGCATTCATCTAGCACCTTAGAGGCACATTCCAACGTCATCTCTAGTTTACGTGAGCGCCCACTGTGGCCCCTTTAACACTAGACTCTTCAGATCAACATCAGGCACATCAGATTGTTACAGAACACCAGGAACAAGGAGGGAGTTAGTCAAATTTCTCCTAAACGTTTCACCAATTTTAATTTCTGAATCACTTTGAGGCCCTGCACTTGTAGGATCATGCCTCAGTCTAACACATCGTTCAGAGGAGGTGAGTCAGGACTAAACACTGTCACATCTCTGCCAAGTTATGGTGCATGTTAGGAACTTTGACGAGTCGATACACAATATTTTAAAAGAGGCGTCTATCTGCCCAATATTTAGTAAAGCCAACTGATCTATCTCTACCATAAGTCAGGTAAAAGCAGGTGCTTTAACATTTCAGTTTCCTCAAAGAAAACATATTTAAAAAGCATACATCAAAATGATGGTATCTATTGTGCGCTTTTTTGCTGAGTTTATTCCACAGATGCCCAAATCAGTCAGACCTGCTCTTAATTCTTAAAACAACAAAATTTGGTTAAAAATCTGACATACAGTAGGTGGCTGTATATTATCCATTTATCTGCAGGCCTCAGGGTGTGTTTTGCCCTGGTACAGCCAGAATGTCACAGACTGTTTGGGTAACAAGGTGCCAGTAGATACTGCTGCATAACATACTGATACATCAAGTCTCAAACAGGACTTTCAGCATGGAAATGTTCCAGGCATGTACCATTCAGCCTCGCAGGACATATGTAAAAGGAAAATGCAATTCCACTGTTCACAGCCTGCAGGTCTTTTGTTACGTCTAACCTCATATTGTCAGTTTCTTGCTGGAGCCTCAAACTTTCACTGAGTCATGTTTTCAGGAAGAACAGATAACATGTCAACAACATAAAACTAATTTTATCTTAATTTGGTGAATGAAAGTGCGTGTGAGGATTTAAAAGGATCCAGTCGGCAGCAGTGACCCTCACAAGCCAGGCCAGGTCAGGAACAGGCGGAGAACTTGTGACTGCTAATCCCCATCTGGGAATGTAAACGGGCATTAACCTCCGCCTTAACTCCAACTCCCACCTTCATTCTTCTCCGTCCACCTCTGCTACCACTCCTCCTTCCATCCACTCCATCTTTGCTTGCCTCATTTCATCCCTTCCTACCTCCCTTCTCTTCCAAACCCTGTCGCTCCTTCCTTCCTTCCTTCCTTGCCCACTCAGGTCTTGCTCCATGAGAAAAGTACTGTACATACTTAACCCAAGTCTCACCTTAATTCAAGCTGTACACTCTGGGTACATTGTTCACATGCTGAAAAGCTTCCTGAAAGAGGTTATACGCTATTTATCCACGAGGGGACAGGAGAGCTGTTAGAAAGGTGCTGCTGCTGTTTTTCAACAGGTTGGTCCACTGCACCCCTGCATGTTTTTTTCTGCAGAATGACTCTTGTGCTGCACTTTGCACTGTTGTATGTCTAACAGGGTTAAAATCACCAAGGTAAAAGCTTCCACTTCCGCTATTGCCACATAAATCAGTGACTATAATGTTACACAGAGTCCACGTCAGTCAACTCTGCAAGATGCAACAGTACCGGCACACTTGCAGAGCCTGGAAGAGTCACTTCATGCCTCAGTAACACGGCCACAGAAAGTTAAGATCTGTGACAGTGAAAGAGCTGTGTGTCTGAGCAGCTGAGAGCAGACAATACCCCGGACAGTACTAAAACAAAGTGGTAAACTCTAAGCTTTACAATGGATTTATGACATCAATTTTGCTCCATTAGAAAAATCTAATTATATGACACAAATCCCAAGACGCTGCCCAAATAATATCAACTGGAGTTGTCATGAAGGGGCCGTCTCCACCACAGGGTAACATAAGTGAACAGCTGCTGCAGCTTATAGTGTAACAATGATAAAATAAAACAAATATACAGTTCCTCTAAGCACATATATCAGTAGTATCAGTATTTTCCCCAGAATGAGGAACATGAGGTTAAGTGTAAATTAAACTGCACAGTTTCCTTGAGCCGTAGCCAGCAACTGCAAAATACTGAATCTTTTCACATATTAAAAGGGCAAGCCTAAACATGCATTTCTAAAGTTACACAAGAGGGCTCTTTAATGCCTCACAAAAACAAGACAACAGCTCCAATTTGAATCACAAGGTTTTCACCTGACAAAGACAAAACCTCAGCTGAGCGCGTTCACTTTCCCCAACACTGACTTGCACTGTTCAACCTTTCAGTTAATGAATCAATTTAAAAGGTTTCAATGATGATACCAGGTCGTGTTCCTCCAAATTAGAACGTTTGTTTGTTTTGGGTGTTATGGTGATGTTTATTGATGCTTTTATTCTGACATCATTCTGGCATCGGTCAGAAGGTAGACTGCTGATTCACATTTCACAAATAAACTCGCACAGAAACAAGATGCCTCATAGCAGCTTGGAAAAAGTAGAAAAACACAACGAAGCTGCTTCTGTTTCACTTTATCGTCACATTACGTCACGTCCACACAACTTCAGTCCAGTCAATATTTGTCAAAGGATAAGCGGGCAATGAGGAAGTAGTTACCAAAAGCGGGGCCCATACTAAATCATATTGCAGACTACCATGTCAGATAAAAAACGGTTCCACTAAATGTTTCTACTTATTAAAGAGTCCATTTTAATCATCTAATAACACTTCTTTGAGTCCTGGAAGGCTTAAGCTCCAGGTTACTGTGAAGCCTTCATTTTTACTTGTAGCCTACTTAAGACTGACTAAATGTTATGTAATGGAATTAATCTGGTGCCCACTGGGTCTGAACACACACAGCTAGCTGCTCCGCTCAAGTGTAATCCAATGGAGAAAAGGACCCACGACGCCCCAAATATTAATGTTTGAGCTGTAATCATGAGGACAAATGAGCCTTAAATAAAGATATACAGGATAAAGATAAAAGGACAGATGGCATAATTTCATTCTTAGGTATAAGCAGTAACAACCGACATTTCAAGCAGTAAATAATAAGATTTCTGCAGTTTCCTGGAAAGACACATTTGCTTCTGCTTTGTTTTCGTAGTTTTCTTATGTTTCATATATGTCAGCGCATGTATCCTGATCCTGTGACAGTAATGACAATAATATATAATAATGATGATATGTATTAACGCTGCTACTATTTTTATTTTTTCAGAATAAATGGTGAATTTAACACTTGGAGGTTTCAAAGGAGAGGAGCATCAACACGGTAAAGTCAGGCTTCCTGCTGCTCTGAAAGTAATTGGTTCAGATAAGGCAAACCTAATATAATCTTCAAGTAATAAATGCGGATATCATGTATGTTATACATATAAATAGACAAACGGTTATGTTCATGAGTGCTTAATCTTTTGTGTCTATAAAAATGTCAGAATGGTGAAAACTGCACCACAATGACCTAATACTAAAATGGACGTCTTCAAATTGCAGTCTGTCCAAAACACACAAAATACTCAGTTTACTATCACATATCTGACGCAGAAAAGCTGTAAAGAAAGATAACATGTTTCAGCAGAATTATCTGTAAACCTGACCTTTGTTGTGACCTATGGGCTTAATGTCAAAGCAGACATTAAAAGAAAAATGTCATCTTTGCCAGACCTGTGCTGAACAGTCACTCAGTGCATCCTGAATAATTCAAGCCGTCATACACAACATGCCTTGGGGCTGCATGACTTTACTTTGTCCATACTTTTTTTACGTATGTTCTTTTATGTACTTCTCCATTTCATCTGCAATAGTTTGTGCCCACCTTTAAAGCCCAAACTCTTATATATTTTTTTTATTCAATCTTTATTCTGAAGTTTAAACAATCATTTTGCATCTTACTGTTTGGTTTTGTCTGCTGATCTATTTGCCATAAATGTACAAATTGCCAATACAGTTACTTTAGTCAGGTCCCACGCCCTCATCAAACAGCACAGCAGCCTTCTGCAGCATCAGATTACAGTAATATACACTGTAACAAGTGCAAACTGCACAGTCGTGGGTGGCTTTAATGAATACTCAGTCACTCCAGCGTAGCAAGATGGTTATCTACAGATTTCATTAAAAAAAAAAACCTCATTAACTCACAATCTTTAACCTTTATACACAGCTGCTAAGCATCTGAAATTGTCTGTAAAATGACTCAGTCAATTAATAAGATAGCATGCATAAGTTATCAGATTCAAAATGCAAATATCGAATGGAAAAGCCTTATTCATAATTACTCTGATGACTTTCCTTTCTGTGCCCTCCTCTGACACATTTTTAAAGCGTTCGGGAATGCTTTCAAATCTATTTAATTCCGTCATGAAGGCATCCAACAACATACATGATGAATGTACCACCTTGCGAAAAGAAAGGTGGAGGCCTCTAATTTGACAGCATTTTGTCTCTCGACTGTCTGGAATGCAGTGGCAGCTATCCATGATATACTGTAACACATGCAACAGGAATTTAAGTGTTTCAGGGAGGAGCAAGGAGGATATTTAAATCTCACACACTCACTCTGCATAAATGTTGGTTTAAGCGGATATCAGATTTGTGTGTGTCAAAGAGAAAATCCTGAATAAAAGTAAAGCCAAGAAATCAGTTGACCCCTCAGAGTAACAAAACACAACAGGGTTTATTTCTTACTTTGAAAACTGCTTAAATCAAAGTCAAGACCTACAGATTGTGCCTCGCGGACTTTTTATAAACAAGAAATCTAGGTTAATCATGAAAACACCTTGTTTGCTCCATTTTCTATCTTAAAAACACTAGTTCAATAGTCTACAGAGGCAGCTCCCAGACAGAGAAATAAGGATCTAAGTGTTTGAACTACATCACAGCCCATCTCAAACGACAAAGAGGCGTTCTTCCTACAGACGTTCACAAGGAGATCGTCCTCTCCGAGGCAACCTGGGAGGAACGCTCCCCTGAAAAGGACAAACATCAGCTCATCAAGTCCATTACTGAGATTGATAATGATGTGAGAGATTCCTTCCCATTTTAACTTTGAACTTGAAAACAAAAAAGATTTCGTGACTGCCAAAAAATGTCCCTATGCAGGAGCATCGCAATATTACTACTAACCCTGATGCCTGCCTGTGTTTGATGCACTTCACCGAAGTACAGAAACCTCCATAACATTAAATACTCAGCTGTGGCTCTGTGATATTGGCTGTGTCAGATGCCTAACTGGTTTGTTAAACAGTATCATGGCAAACAAACAAACAAAAAATGGCCAGAACTTTTTCACCCTCAGTTAAGTCTGCCAGGCAAACCTTCCTTCCAAAGATCACCACCTTCGTTATAGGAGGCTAACTCCAACCACGGCTTTAGTTTTAACCTAAGCATTTGACTGGCGGAGCTTGTAAGGGATGGTACATAGCCTGGGAAGCCAAGTTCAAGGCAAAAATGAAATTGTCACAGGCCAAAAGTTAAATATGTCGTGCTGAACATAAATGTGGCAAGATGATTGAGACGTTTGTATGAAACAAATACACGTTAGTAAAACTTTCGGTCAAGTTACAGATTCAAAGTATCCCTGCCTATTACTACTGAAAGCCTTGTTAATGCACTACATGATGCGGGGGCTGACCATACATTCATGTCTTCACACACCCTGACAGACCTGGACTATATTGTACAAGTACGCTATCAGCTACACAGCTCAAAGTTTCATCAGGAGTGTTTGTAGGTTGCTGCGGCTATGTCATAGACTGTATAAGACAGGTTTGTGTGCAGGGTGAATAAGGGTTAATATTCTGAACCAGTGACAGGCCTATCCTACCAGGATATGAGAGACTACTGTATCTGATTCTGGTCTGTGTTTGTGTCAAGGCAAACAGAGGGAGCCAGAGGAACACAGGATGTTAAATAGTTTCTCTTATAAAATAAAAGCAGAGCAGATTTAAAACATCTCAAACGCTGAATGACCAGCATTTCAAAACCCAAAGATATTTAGGCTACTTTTTTAAAAATCATCGAAGAATAAGAAAAAATAAATAAATATTAAGATCAGAGAAGCTGCTATTTTAATATTTGCTTATAGCCTTAATGAATATCCACTACTAATGGACTGATTGACAAATCACTTCAGCTCTACATCCAAGATATATAAAATATAAATTCACTCCAGAATTTATTTGGTCTTCTCTGAAAAACCTCCAAAACAACATAAGACAGTGAAACTGAATTACTAATTATAATTAACAGACTTATAAGTAAGATATAAGATATATTATTATTTATAAAACTATTCAAGCATTATCAAAACACACAATGAGACTAAAATCAATCCGCATAATATCCATCATAGTCTCACTCTAAAAGTGATATTAACAGCTGTACAATAACAGAAACTTACCATAATAAATTTAACCACATGAATCAGCAATCATAGGTTAATCCTTAACTGGGGTCACTGCATTGACAGACTGTGGCAGTGTATCAATAATGACAACAGGGATGCAATTAAGCTGTCAGTTATTTCTTTAATTAATCAATTATTTGATGTACAAAGCGTAAAAAATCAATTAAAGATGCACGTTACAGTTTCCCATACACCCAAGGTTAATCGTTATCTAAATTGTTTTGTTTTGAAATAAGTGACCGGAAGTTGCGCTGTTTTCATTCTGGCTAGCCTGACGCAGGTCGTCTAAAGTAACACAGCAAGGAGGGAAAAAAAACAAAAACACACAAAACACACACTGTATATGTGCTGCTGAAGAATTAAAATCTTCAGTGAACGGCAGTGTTTGGAGGAATAAGAGCTTGTAAAGCAGACGGCAGAGGTAAATTACACATAAGGCCGCATAAATAGACAATGTGATTTAACAAGGCTACACCCCTCTCGCCTCCGGCTGAACTACCTTTTTGTTTGACAGATTTCCAAAGCTAATCACAGTTTGTCTGCATCATTTCAGAACAACTGCTGAAAAGGGACATTAGGGAGACATCATCTCGCAACATAACACACATTTTAAACGTTTCAACCCCGACTGAAGTTACAAAGACTGTCAAGGGCAGTAATATTTCACCAGTACGAAAACTAGAAACCACTGCTGTTCGACAGTAAGGGTTAGAAATGATACCTTCAGTAGGAAGATGTTTGGTAGGGGATCTTTAAATGTCTTGACTGCTTCTGTCCCGGTTCACAGCACAGCCGAGCCTCCCGGATAGCCTTTTGAAGTCACGCCAGGGCTGTTTGTCAGCAGGAAAGTCAGCTAATAATGTGTGCGTTACAATTTAAAATGTGTGGAAGCTGTGAAGAAGCCACTGCAGAAATCCATCTGGTCGCTTTCCAGTCTGCTGTCAAGGTAACGTGAACAAGCTTAACTGACTTCCGGTGGGGATTTTCATAACAAAACCAACGGACGCTCATACTTTTAAACTAACGGAAGAATAAAGGCATGAGAGGTTGAAATGAAACTGAAATAGCTAATATGAAGCGAAACAATCCATGTATTTATGAATTCAAACAATACTTTTTCCTATTTGCACCCCAAAACCTTGTGACACAGACAAATTTGCTTTATCGTGTAAACCGCGTGACTTCCGGTAGTAATCTAGTTCACGATTGCTAACTTGACACATCTGTATCTTTCCAGACGCGGCGGAGTCTCGTTCACATTCTCTCACATGAAGTCCTTTTAACCACCTTTCCTCATGTTTTACTATATTATATACCATTCCAACACATACAAATGCAATGTAATTTATCATATTTAAATTTATGATATCTTATGGGACACAATTTACTTTTGTCCACCAATGAGAGAAAAAAAATTAAAGGAGGAGAGAGTCTGAAGGTCGGAGTGTGATCATATTAGAACGAGCCCCAGGCCAAAACATGACGGCCTAATCTGGAAAAAGCCCATTGGAGGTTAGATACCACGTGGTTGAAATTACACTTCCGGATCAAAATATATAAGTCATAACATTGGCAGTGTATCCATTTGTTTAATGTTGAACGCAATTGATCACACAAAAATGTATAAAATACAAAAATTGAATTAAAAAAATGTGCCAGCTAAAGGGGATCCAAAAGCCAACACACAGGGCTCGCACTGGTTTAATTAAGAGCTCTGCCAGCTAAAAATAATAACATTAACATTTTTAATAAAACTTCAAGTCCCACAAAAAAGCAATATCCCATAGAGGAAACCATCTTTATTAAAGCTGCTTTTCATTTTACATACATATCAGAATTACATATTTACAAATATATACACGTCTCATTATAATATCTTCATATCAACACCATACTCAGTAGATACAATAGGAAAATAAAGACAGTGTTCGCTGCAATGTGCTGCATAAAAAGAAACAAAAAATATACCCCTTCTCATCTCTCCAGCCTCCAAGTAAAAAGTACAAATAACTCAACAACCTTTATTGTGTGTTCATGACAAAAGACTGACAAGTTTAGTGCCCGTGTCAGCTTTCATAAGAGGGCAGAAAATAAACTCTCAAGAAATACAACAGTGCCTGGTAGAAGGACTTGCCTTGTTTAGGGCTTTGAGAGCTTTAAAATTGGGGCTATGGTTTAACATGCCTCAAAGAGTGATGATATACAGGGAGACAAGGACACTCACAAAAACCTTGATCCTCTTCACAATGTACATGCTGTCGAGGAAAACAATGTGAGGTAAAGAGGACACAGCTGTACCAGTGTGACATACATTTCTTAGTCTTACAGAACTTGCACATAACGCCACAGTTTAGTCTCTGGCTTAGCTCACAGTTGGAGACTGAAAGGTCTGCAAACTAGTTTCTTCCTTTTTCTGGAGAAGTAGCTTTTCCTTTCGCGGGGGGGGGGATGGACGACATGCGTTATCTGCTTTGAGTATAAAAGTTCTCAACAAAAAGAGCTCAAGTAAATAATCACAAGCAGCAATTGAAGTCGGGGCCTAATTCACATGGCTTTGTCGAGCCAGTGGGCAAATGTGACCCACTCTAAGTAATAAACAGGCGGGGCTGGTTGTAGTATAACAGCATGCTGCACTTGGTAGAGTCACACATTCAACATTAAAGATGGGAAAAGGAAGAGATTGTTTTACAGTGCGGCCTGTGGATGCAGTAGTAATGTTGGGGTATAAAAAAACATGTTCACCCTTGAAAAACAAGGTAAGAAAAATCATTCAGCGTTCAGAATAGCACAGGTTCTGTGTGTGCATGTGTGTGTGTAAAGAAGGATGTCCCAGCAGCTGGTTGTCAAAGGTGTACTATCAACCTGTATAAACATCCTCATTCCCACTTACAGGGTCAAACAAGGCCATCTCATCTCACTCACCACCCCTGCTGTGTAAATCCCCCCTCTTTTTTGGAACTTGTTATTCGACCGTGACGATCCACTCAGCTACATCATGGTGTCAGGTAAACAAAATATTGCTTCCAGGCTGGTGGTGCAAACCACTGCCTGCTTCAAAGCCTGCTTCTGTTGCTGCTGTGCAGACCAAAGATAGGTGAGCACAGAGGCCATGACACAAAAAGAGTGTGGAGATTTATGTGCATCTGCTTCTGTTTGTCTGACCGGGAGTTCTGAAACTGAGGGATCCTTGGTGGCCACCGAGGGTCTCCTGGGCAAATTGCAATTTATCAATAAAGTTAACCTGACTATAAATTAATACAGCAGGTAAATGCATTAGAACTACTGTTCTATCTCAACACTATGTGTAAACAGTAATATAACTAATTAGGGCCTTATACGTAACTCTGATCCGACTGGTGTCTGTGGCTTAATGGCCTCTCTGGGGGTTTGTGGCATACGCATGTTTGTTCTGAAGCAAGCACACGTGCAAGAATGCACACACACAAAGGCATTTGGTCAACACAAGCAGGTATGCAGTCACACCTGCTTGCCCACACAAAATCTTGGGCTTCCTGAGAGGTAAATCCAGAGCAGTTCAGAGGCGAGTTAGATAATCACTCTTGGGGAGGGGGGGGTTGGGAGGACTCAACAAAAAAACACAAGAGGTTCAGAAGTTGTTCCAAGCTGCCGCTCTCTGTGTAAGTGATTTGCAAGTGTAGTAGGAGAAGTGCATGACATCTGACCACCAGGTAGTGCTGTTGGTGACATTCACCTAGTGATACATTTGACTCTGTTTTAATTTGTAGTTCACACCACAAAAACAGGAATAAGGGAAGCTCATATTAACAACACGGGAGGAAAACAGCATTCTTGAATGGGGAATAAAACAAAAAACAACTATTTTAAAACCACTGGCCTGCCAGACACTACAGGGATTTAACACACTTCACCTTGTATGTGTCCCGCGTACAAAAATGTTACAAGACTTACAGTAACAGGCCCTGAATGTTTGACCTGCTCAGTGATGCTCCAAGATGCACTGAAAGGTTTTTGTTTTTTTTTCTTGTTGCAGCCAGCTGCCAGTTTTCACAGTGTACGATTAATGTCTGACACTAAAGCTGATGCATCATGTGAAATACCAGTCTTATAGTCTCTGTAGCTGTAGATGTTTCACACACAAATCTTTTGCTATGCTGTGATGTTGTTGACTTGAAGGTTGATCCCAAGTTGACCGGTCACATTAAGTGCAGATATTCTTTAAATGTGTCCACTTTGATTCTACATAATCAGAAGGAATTAATCCAGTTAATCTTAATAAGTTACTGATTTTCTCTGTTGTTTACAGAGATTGTGATTTTGAAAAGAAGGCCTTCCAGGAGGTGATGCATCACATGACTGTAACATGTGTGCTGAGGAACTCGTTTCCCCTGATATTTATCTGAATGTTATCTTTATGTCACTGGAATGAGCTGTGAAAATACTATTTTCAACCCGCATTCTGACAATTTTGAAGGTAAAAAAATAACTTAAAATGAGATAAATGAGTGGAAATAAGGTAATTTGTCTTTGCAATTAGAGTAACAGGTGGCTGTAAGTATTCAGAAAAGGTGGACGTAGTAGTCAACATGGGTACCACTAGCAGATACAATGATAGCTTTGGTTTTTGGTTGGATCTGGCAAAACTGCGAGTTGGACATCTGTGTGATGGCTTTGATTCCGCCCTCCTGTCCTGGGTCACCTTTAGCTTTTTGTAATTCCACCTGGACATTGTTTTAGGTTGGGGGATGGAGCTGGGGAGAGTGGTTGCAGGTCAGGGTTTGATGTCGGAGAAGCTGGTGTAGGTCTCACTGCAGCTGGACGAAGTGCTGAGGTTCCCAGAGACGCTGCCATCTGCAGGACAAATACACAGACACACAAACAAAAGCTGTGTTTATACAGAGTCGAACTCACAATCCTCAAGCAAACAGATGTATCCAAAAAAAAGAAATTTGGTTTTCCAAAGGGCTGGGTTTAACAATACAAAGTAAAGATCACAAGTAGAACACACTGATTGACATTTAGAGGGTGGAATAGGACCCATGTAACTACAGCGGTTGATGGTGTTCTTCTTCCATAAACTCCATATGTTTGGCTAACTAAAGTAGTGATAAGGACACTAATTTATCAGGAAAAACAATACATTCTATTACTACTGACATTTAAAATGTGGTGTGTAAAGGTGCCCTGTGTAGCCTTGGAACGCTAGTAGCGCTAATGACACTGCTCCTCTTACAAGAGGGTCCCCATAACGTTTTGTTCGCTGATGAATCTGTTTTCGTGAATCGTGTTTTCATCTCTGAGATGTGGGCAGGGATTCAAGAGGAAGAACACATGACCACGGAAGGGTGTTAAAGACACAAAATAGTATATTTGGAAAAAATACCTGAGCTGCTGAGCGACTGGGAGGACTTGGACTCTGATATGAGGCTGAGGAGGTTTTCTGCTGCCACCCAGCCCTCCTTACTGCTGCGAAGGTTCTTCACAAACCTACAGATGAGTGAACAAACATTGAACTTAACTACAATGTCAATATGTGTTTAAATAACTTATACAGCTATCGAATGACTGGTATAAGCTGTGTTTGGCCCAGTGAAAGCAGGAATCATACTGTGGCTCTGACATAGAATTTAAGGACTTTTCATCGACTTCTGAGATGTAAGTCCATAATTTGTTATTTTATACAGTCTTGTTTGCACTTTTTATACTAAAAAGCACCAGCTAATGTAGTGACTGTGAGAATAAAGGTGGAAAATACATTCTGGTGTATTCCTTTCCTGTGCCCTTTTTTTTTGTAAAACTCCTTATCATACCCAGACGCCTGCAGAGAATTCATTGATTTCTCTGGACAGATTTCACAACTCTTAATTCCACAACAAAAAAACATAGAGCCCAGAAAGAACTTATTAACTCATAATAAATTATGTTTGAATATGAATATTTCCTGTTTACATATTATTGAATTTGGATTCTTTTTACTGGAGAAAGGAAGACGCTTACCACTGTCCCTCCTCTCCTTCTCTGATTAGCTGGACCATGTCTCCACTCTTGACAGACAGCTCCTGAGGTCCCGCCTTCTCGCAGTCCGCTACCACCGTATACTTTCCTGGAGCCTAAATGGTCAAAGGTCACCGAAAACAGTCAGTGATAGTTTCAAGGAGTCAACATCAATAAGCAACATATATAACAAAAGACACCATCTACTGAATGTAAAACTCTTCAGGTTCAGGCTCACCAGCTTCTTTCCTACTTCATCCTCCGGGTCAGAGTTCATGGGGTCCTCGCCACTGGAGTACCCATCGTTCTCTTCTGAGGCATCCACCGAGAGAGACGCCTTGCTCCAGCCTGTAGATTGGTGGTGGTGGTGCAGAGAGGACAAGGGGACACAGGTGAGGAGATTTAGAGGCCAATGAGAGGATGATAATGAGAAGTGTGGAAAAGAGTTGCAGTCGTGCCTTAATCTCCGATAAGGAGCACAAAACCACAAGATCTATTCTGTCAAAACATGTATGTGGGGCTATCTGGCAAATTAATACATTCACACACACACACACACACACACACACACACACACACACACACTCTCAAAGATCAAAACAAACTCCTCAAAAATCCCAGAGAAGACCAATGGAGACAGCAGACAGATCCCAGTGAAACACATCAAGGAAACAGCTGCCAGTGCTGAAAATTACAATTATGCTCCATGCCACACAACCACTAACCAAAAACACCCAATAGTAGAAGAATTGAGAATGATTGATTTGAGGCAGAGTAGGTACACCTTGCAAAAAAACATTTAGCAGAGAACTGAGACTTAAAATCTTATATTTACAGGTAAAGAGAGTTGAAATAGTTTTCAGATTATTGTTAACATCTCCCTCCAATGAGAGATAAGACAATTATACCTCTCGTAAAAATCAATCATAACTACTACAAACCACCACAAACACCCACAGTGGCTGATCCTCAGAGCGGATCTGTACCTTGCCGCTTGCTCTGTAAGAGACTAGAGGTGCTCATCCATTTGACTCTGCTCAGAGTGACATGGGGAGCCGGCTCTAGACGGGGGAGAAACAGCCAGCAAGTCAGTGAGACAGCTGAACTTGTCCTGTAGCCTGACAGCTGGTTAAGCGGGGTTACCCGGTCGGTCACTAAAGGGTGGTCTTTCAGAGTCGATGTGAGAGCATTTTGTCTTTGATGTGGACTAGGAGACAAACAATGGGTGTAATTGAGGACCAAAAATCACTGCAATGTGACATAAGTAGGGATTCTTCACTCTGATATGGTTAGTAAGGCAATCAGACAATTGGTCAGTTAGTACATAAATCATTTGTCCATTGACGTTTTGCTCTCAAATGAAAATAAACACAGCATCTTCACAAAATATTTCGGGACATAAGCTTATTTGTTTCTTGCTGAGAGTTAAAAGAGAAGATTGTTACCACACTTGTGTTTGTATGGTACAATTGTAGCTGTAGCCACTTAGCTTAAAGACTGGGAAAAGGGAGAAATAGCTAGCCTTGCTTTGTCCAAAGGCAGAGCCAAAGTTGAGCTAACTCTCACCATGAAAGCAAGTAAGCATATATCCCAAAATGCTGAATGTTGGAGACTTTCTAATTCAGTGATGATGATTATGACTTGTGAAAACATTTGTGTACAACACTGTCATGGTCAGGTGAGAACGGCCTCTATAAATGGATTAAGGTTTGATATAACATCACATCCAGTTTCATCCTTCTACATGAGACACAGGTTAAGTCTACATAATGAAAACACACATCACCAGAGTGCACTTTAGTGGTGAGGGGTGGGAAGATGAATGGTGGCCTCTAGAATTAGATGGCCCCTATTATGGGACAACAATATACCTTTGAAACCAAACGGTGTGGGGTCACTCTTGACCAAGTGACGTTTGGAGCCGTGCTCAGGGCTCAGCGCCGAGCCTGGCGCACACAGGCAGAAAAAGGTGAAAGAGAAGGGGGAAGAGAGAAAAGTGAGAAAGAGAGCAAGAATTTAACACTATCATTAAATATCTAAACCAGTGAGAAGCCTCTGTCGTTCTAACTTTGTACCTTTAAATAATTCTTTAGATTTATATAATATTTAGCCTTTAATATATCTGAACTGGAAAGTGGGTGGACTGGTGAACAACAGCCACATGTACAGTAACTTTTTCACTGGCTACTGAAGGTCGGGTGTACCTAATACAGCAGGAACTTCAGCAGTGGCAATGTTAGACTTTGACCACTAGGAGGCAGAGCGTCTGCAACATAAAAACTAGGCTCATCAGTACACCCCATGGTCGCTGTATTTTTTCTGAAATAATGTATAAAATGCAGAAATATAGCAGCAACATAATGTCCTTAATCCTTAATGTATTTAATTGAGCAAGGGTGCATTTTAATTATTTATGAATTCAACATTCATTTGTTAAACAAAATATGTGTTATTTCATCATTCAAAGGCTACATTACCACACTAAACTAGTCTAAGCATTGTGTGTCTAATTTCAAATGCTCCTTAGATCTGCTAATAATGCTATGTTACCTTTCGGGCTCTTGAGATTGCTGAAGCCCTGCAAAGTAAAACGCTTTTTAGCCACTGAAGACCTGTCAGTGGTTGGGCTGGTCACTGGTTCATCTGGAAACAATAGTTTGAAATGGAAAGCGGGAAAAGAAACGAGAGTGTTGCACAATCAAAAAAATTAATATAAAGAGGTAGAAAGAGACAGAAAGAGGAACCATGAAGATGAGGGTGATTAAGAAAAGAAGGGTCCAGATCAGTGAGAGTTTCAGTAGCGGGCAGAGATCCTAGTTTGATTTAATACATTTTGTGTCTGAGTGAGGACGCAGTATTTATCAAACATTCACCTTTGTGTTTCGGTGATGAAGAGGAGTTGACGTCAGAGTTCGGGCTTTGCTCCCCCTTCTTCTCCTCCTGCTTCTTCTGGTTTTTCTGACCACTGCTACGAAAGGGACTGGGAAAGGTTTAAGAAACATTTCAACAAATGAAGGCATCTCATCTTTGGGTGTACTTCATGTGCGCAATGTAAGTAAGAGACACCAACCTGAGGGAGATGGAAGAGTTGTTGCTGATGGGACTCGGGGTGTCTGAGCTCTTCTGCTGAATGGCATCTGAAACATACAAACAGTTAACTACTCACAACAAGCAGGTACGCGGAGCTGCAAATGGAGGAGAAGAATAAACACAAAAAAGCTTGTCTTGTCTCCATGTGTGTCCAAAATACCTCTGCAGGCTTTGAGCTGTTGGGTCAAAACTTTGCGGATCTCGTTCACCCACAATGTTTTAATCTCTGGTGTTGGAGCCTAGATGAGACAAATTATACAGCACTCTCAGTGATAGAGTTCCTTCTTCATTCATGTTTAGTCAAAGCAGTGAGGCTGAGCGACCTTACCTGGACTATAAAAACCTCGTCTCTGGAGTTACACCAAACCTCAAACTTCTTGTTGTCTCCTTTCGCGTTCTCGGTGATGCCCACCGCGCTCATCTGAGAAAAGAACGACAAGAAAACACAAGTTTGCACACGGTCAGCCCTGATCTTTCACTACAGCTGCCTATTAAGAGTCTGCCCAACGTGAGCTTACACTGAGGGAGTGTTTGAAGCTGTAAGACGGAGCTTTCTCATAGCCCTCCCCGTTCTCCTCTCTCCTCTTACAGAAGAGCAGGGCCTTCTCGTGCAGGAACAGGTGCCTTTGCATGGGCTTGAACCGGGCCAGGTCCTTGACCTTGGCGTGACCTTTTTTATGCTCCGTCCACACACTGAAGGAGCCCTGCATCAGCAGGCGACCCAGCTCGGACAGGTTGCCCTGAAGAAAAGGGAAAAGACAGGAAAGCAGGTATTTATTTTCAGGGTGCTGCATTTTACAATTATGTAAGGATCCAACTGGACAACAGACTTTGTTTTAAGACCCAACTTGACGTGAAGTTGAAAGTCAAAATTGCATTTTTCAATAGAAGGAAATTGTTCCCATCTTGCTTGTTGGAGGACCATTGTTACAATCAACAATTGTGCTTTTTTTTTTAAACAATGATTCTTTATTCTTTAGTTCACTACGCAGGTTATACATTTTTAAAAGGCAGGATGATCCCCTTTAACTAAAGAAATTGTATTGTGTGTTATTGATCTATGACTTCTGCCTCTCCTTTTTAACTCTAACCTCAGTGAACACAATAAATATTATGTCTTGTGTTATATTACACTTGTACAACCTGAGTTACAAATGCAATTATAAAAGAAAAACAAGAAATCTTAAAGTCTCTCATTCCTCATAACAATTTATTTATATGCTTGAGTCTTCAAAATGCTACATAAAATAGTTTTCTTAAATTGTTTGTGCTTGTTCTCAGGTCTCTTTTGAAAAACAAGATCCTGATCTTGCTGAGATGTGTATAAAATTAGATGATCTAAACTAACTAAACAAACTAAATAATTAAAAAACTGTACAAACTGTATGGGCCACTTTTGCAAGATTCGTTCAAACAGCTGTTGTTTGCTCTCTTTCTCTCTTGCATTCACATACACATCACGTTGCATTTAACGTAGGCGTTGGTCAGCACCCTGACATGTACATACAGTATATGTGCATTGTGTTGATAAATAAACTCAAACACGAGGTGGTGAAGCATCTGATTTATGGTTGCATGGTCTGTAATGTACTGTCCAAGAAAAGTGCACTTTTCTACTGGGCCAAAAAAAATAAAAAATCAACTCCTGTCCGAGCCGACCAGCTAAGAGACAGCATCTCTATCCATTTCATTAAGACAGTGTTAGTTCTCTGACCTCATATCCTGTGATGGCGATGAGGTGCATGGAGTCGTTAACAGCTTTCAGGATCCCCAGGATGGAGGAGAGAGCATCCTGTAGGTCATCACTGCCATCGCAGCTCTTACTGTATTTCAACAGCTCCTGCAAGCACACAACAAAACGCGGAGAACACAGTGAGTGTGAAATAAACACACACAGACATACAGTATATACTGTACATGACAGATCACCTTAAGCAGTAGCTGGTACTTTGTGATTCTCTGGACAGGTTTAAGGAGGTAGGAGTCCAAACCAAGTTTATGTTCCAACTTCTTCTGGCACTCCTGGTTCACAAAACATAAACAAATGACTTAGGATGACTAAGTGTTCTTGTTAGCCACACAGTAAGGTAGGAAAGTGTTACTATGAGGTGAAAGGTGAAAGAGCAACCTGGAAGAAGGCACAGTCGGAGCACTGCCTCCACAAGCTTTCAGAGCGAGGCTTGTTCTGGCAGTAAGCCTCGTAGATCTGCAGGTCCTTCATCTACAGAGAGAATCAGTCATTAACGTGTTCACCTTTTCTTACTCAGCATTGTTAATGGAAACAGTATGTTGAAGCAACCCCCCTTTCATTGATCTGACTTTTTAAGATTAAGATTTTTATTGGCTTTTTATAAGTAATGAGTCCAGAGCAGAGTGTAGGAAGTAAGTGCTTACCCTCTCTAAAAAGCAGCGACCCACTAGTTCTGGGCAGTCAGTGTACGCTTCCAGTTCCTTTAGAAACGTTCTACAGACAAACAACATGAAATTTCAGTAATTCAACTTTCTTGCAGAAAGATGAGAAGATTGATCCCACTCTCACATCTGTATGGTAAATATGAAGCCTGCAGCCAGCAGCTGTTTATCTTAGCTTAGCATAAAGACTGGAAACCGGGGATCAGCTAGCCTGGCTCTATCCAAAAGGTAACATCTGCCTACCAGCGCCCAGAAAATTACTATTTAAAGTGAAGATACAAATTTAAAAACACTGGCATTGACCAACAAATGACCAAAAGAAGCAATATCACTTGTGAATAAAGGTTTCTGACTGACAATATTTCCTGTCTAAAAGAAGCGTACCTCTTATGAAACTGGTAGATTTCAGACATGTTGCCAAACAGGACGTCCTTCTTGCTGAGCAGGGCGCTGGGGATGAGGTGAGCCATGGCAGGGTTGTCCATCTCCGCTGCGTAGCCCTGGAGTTAAAAAATACACAGAAAGATTTACAAAACGTTTAATGTCCTGGTCGTTCCCCAGTGAATGATACATGTAGGTCCAACTCCCATGTGGCCTTGTATAGAAATACACTGATAAAGAACAGATGCATGTACTGAATTAGTGATCTGCCGACACTGTACTTCCAATTTAAATATGTCGTTTCAATAGTAATGCTATTAATTTGTAAATGTACAAAACTTTTGCCAGGACACTGCAACCTGGTGTGAATATACACAAATGGACAAACACTCACCTCCAGCACACACAGTAGCTCCTCCACATATGCTCTCTCCGTCTCCAGCAATTCATTCATTACGTGGCTGAAACACACAGAAAAACTAAATGCTTAAAATAGTGTAGTTTTGACTGAATTTCTCTTGAACACTGTAAGGTGAGTTGATGTGAGCGCTTTCAGTTCTCACATCCAGCACCCTAACAAAACTACCAAAGATGAGAAATGTTGCAGCCTTCTTATCTATGGCTCCGAGAATGACCTTTGACCCCTTACCGCCGAAGTACTGCCAGGTTTTCTTCCTCTTCTGTTAGAGAAGCATGTCTGGTGCCACCGTTTTGTAAGGGAGTCTCCACCTGGACACACACATTCATGTATATTATGACCATTCACCTTTTAACAGCCATATCAGTTCACTTTGACTAAACATCTCTTACCTTTTGATCGGGAATGATTATTTCTAATTGATTATCAAAAACTAAATTAACTAGTTTTAAATGTTTGTTGTGTTTGACAATATTTACTGCCAAACAGTTGATCAGTATTCATGCATTTACCTTTTTGCAGATGGCATTATCTGCAGAGTATCTTCTTTCTTTTCTCTGTTGATCTGAAGGACAGAGAGAAGACATTGTTATTATCCCTTAACCAGGTGAGAAGAATCCTGAGTTAATATCAAGCCTTTGTACAACTGATACATGCTGCTCTATCTATATAAAATCAGTTTATCTGATCCAGGCTTACTGGGTGAGGAGAGTGGAGACTTCACTTCAGGTCTTGGTGCTACTGGCTGGACTGGTCTGGTCTGTTTGGCGGCAAGTTTCTTCAGGCTGACGCGTCTCTTCTCAAACATCTCCTGGACAGAGCTTTGCTTCTGGAAAACGCTCTCTACCTGGTCCTGATGGAGACCAAGATAATGCAGTAATTTAACCAAAAGGTAAACTACGACCTCAGGATAAAACATCATAAGGCACACAGGGAAAAAAATTATTGCATATATTTAATCTGTTAAATCCCCTTCCTACTGACCCTGAGCTGAGTAGTGAGGGCCGCCTCATACTGGCAGCAGATGGCGCTGTGATCTGTGAGGGTGTGTAGCGGCGCTGTGTCCAAGTATCGCTCCAGTTCTTGCAGAGCTGCTTCAGCTCCATCCTGAGACTGACAGCGGTCCACTGGCTGGCTGGCCAACAGGAAGATGCCCTCCTCACACCACCGTGATGCCTGGGTGGAAACATTTTCAATTACTTTTCTCCAAAAACTGATAACCTGAAAGAATCTCTTTCAGGATGACGTGGATGTGATGCTAGAGGAAAGATCAGCAGGTCATCTGTCTTTATCGCTCATGCACATACAGTCTGACCCACACTCGTACCTTCTCTAGAGCGTGGTGGAGCTCCATCGCCTTCAGCAGGAGGCTCTTCTTACTCCTCAGGGTGGAGCTGATCTCCTCGCACACTTCCCTCAGCTCGCTGCACTTCGGCCTAATGGAGTCCTCGGCATAGTGGGAATTTTCTATTAGCCTGTCACCTTCACTGGCCAGGGACAGGGCGCAGTCCAGTACGTCCTATTGAAACACATTGAAGACGTTTTTAATATCAGAATATACTTCAGGACACGTGTCGAATAATGGCATGTCAGCTAACAGCAGATGACACTTCATCAGTCAAACGGCAACAATGAAACAACCCTCTCTCCTCCTCCACAGTCCTCTCCCTCTAAGCAGAGTGGAGCTTCATTACTTAATTCTGGATAGAGTGGGGCACCTACTTTGGTCAAACAACTCATCCTCTATATGAGCCTCTGAAACAGCATATCAAGATGCTAAAACTCTCTTCTAATAATGTTAATTGATCAGTGAATATGTAATTAATCAAACTGAACCCTTATAGCTATAGAATAAAAGGCTAATATCAGCCTTATATTTCCCATGCACATACAGGTGCTCTCACTCTCTTCTCTCACATCTATTTCCACTCGTTCCCAGTGATTGATTAGGTCATTAGCCATATGGCTTCAAGGATGCATCAAAGGTGAAAGTGTTTGTGTTTACTGTACCATTACAGGATAGATCAGGATTGTGTGTGTGTTTGTCTTTCTTACACAGGCCCTGTCCTCATGGCCGCTGAGCTCTCGGAGGACGTGCTCAGCATGGGCGGGGCTTACACTGACCTCGGAGAAACCAGACAACCGCTCTGATGTCACATCAAGCTGGCCACGCACCTGCAAACACACGTTGTTAATGTTGTGTTATCAGCACACGTTACCCTGTGTGTGACTAATTTGTCCAGAAAACTACATTTCCCATAAGGCAACTCAACTCACTTCACGGAAGTGCTGTTCAAAATGGCGGAGCTGTAAACACTGTTCCAGCTTGGTGCGGTGACGCTCCCAGAAATCATCAAATGCTGCCTCTGTTTCGTCCAGCTGACCCAGGAGTCTGAGAGGGAGGAGGAAAACAGCAGGGCGGAAAGGAGGAGGAGTGATGGGAAGATTTATTCATGCGTTCAGGAAAAACTTCTTTCT